CTGTAGCTTTGCCCATCAAGCTGCATGTAACAGAGCTAGATTTAACCTTACCAAAGAGAAGTTGTAGAGCAAATTCTGTTTTAGGAAAAAACGGGTTTCAGGATTTAATCTTTGTAAAACCACATGTTTTTATTCTTTGATCCATGTAAAAGCAACACAGTGTCAGAAACCTTTATTTTTTTGACAAAGCTAGACTGCCCTTTGCTAGCAGTTGCTATGTTTTTTGTCTTTCATTGCAACAGCAACCTGGTCCCAGACCTGAACGCCCAGGCCTGCACCATCTCTATCTCCTCCATCCTGTTTTTCCTACAGTCCTTTTGGACCTCACCAATGCAACAGACAAAGTCATTGCTTCAGCAGGTGAGTACAAATGGAGGCAAAACTACCTAGGCCAGAAATATGGAGAGAGAAGTAGCTATGAGAAACAATGGGCTGTAGTTGTGCCTTTAAAGGTAGCACCTAAGGTCCACAACACATAGCACAACAATGGGAATTAAGATTCATCTTCCTTCTGAAGGAGCATCATGTCCACCCCCAACTTTGCAAATAAAAGACCCCCCAAGTTTCTTACATGTTTAACCAATGACAGGTTTAAGTTTGATTTAATGCATGTTTTACACCAGAGAAGTTGTGTCGCTTTCCGTGGAGCTATTTTTAATTTAATGCCATGCATAAAAAATCACTATTCTCTGTCACCTCAGATACACTTCTGCTTTTGTTGGCCATCTCCCAATCTTTGGGATAGGAGCTGTTCTAATTCCTCTTTGTTTTTGTAAGGGGGAATCCAAAATATATAAGTGTTTTCAGGGAAAAGTAGATCTGGATTTAACATCTATACAAGATTGTACAGTCCCTGTTCAATTTCCTTGCACTTTCTAAAGCAGTTCAGCAAATAACCACCCTCTTGTGCATGGGAGTGGGGGATAAAGGATCAGTTCATCCAGAACTAAGAGAAGTAGGCCAGGAAGCATAGAAAAACTGCTGCATAGTAATCTAATTGGACTTGTATCAAAGTTCAGGCAAAGTTCATCCAGAACTAAGAGAAGTAGGCCAGGAAGCATAGAAAAACTGCTGCATAGTAAAACATCTAATTGGACTTGTATCAGAAACACAGTTCAGGCAAGAACAAATAGAATAGTATTGTTACAGGGTTTTTTTTAGAAACTAGGATTTCTGAGGTCTGTACAGATCATTCTGCAGTGACTGGAGTCACCTGACTTGCCAGTGCTTTACAAATTTCCAGTTATATAGAGGTAAATAATAGCTACTAACAGGTGTGGGAAGGAAAGCTGAGAGTGAACTGTATTCTTGAAATATGTTCATATCCTATGTCAAGCCCAAAAAGCATAACCTGGAACCAAACCCTTCCATTTCTGATCTATATTTCAGTTTCTTTCCATGGAAAAAGGTTAAAATATTTTTCCCTTATCAACTAAAGTGCATGGAATTGTAAAGTCAGACTGTATATACTATCAGTCTAGTGGGTGTTTTGACTGAGTAAGGGCTATAAGATTTCTTTTGGAAGAAACATAATCATTTCCTTCTCACCACTGTTTTCTTGCCCTTTTCTGATGGACCAGTTGGAATTAATGATCTCCAAAAGGATGCATTTCACATCACTGTGACAACAACTGCAACCTCTGAAAAACAGCCAGGATTTCTCTCGGTCAGCAAGCTGGGCCTGAAGTGGGCCATGATGAGCCAAGGGCGAATGGTGTGGTTAAAGGACAGCAGGACTCCAAAAATCAGCCGTGGAGAAGTGAGGCGATTTCTTGCCCGGATGAAATTTGCTGACTTTCCTCAGAAGGTGAGATTGTCCAGGAATCCCTCATGAAATCCAGACATTGAAAACATGTGATTTCTTCCCTACAGACACAGTTAAGGTGTTCTTTGGGATGGAAAGAAAATGGTGGGATGCAAAATTACTGCTTGCAAGATGACTGGCTACCCCTTTGGGCATGATGGACAGATTGTGAAGCAAAGATGTACTTAGGCTGTTGAACACAGCGCAGGATCTTAGAAAGGAACAGGGATGGTGGTCATAAGAGACTGGGAGACTTACAGAGGGATCAGAGAGGTGGGGCTGATATCACTTGTTTTGACATGGGCAAGCAAGGGTCCTCCATATAGTGGTGCCCAGGTTCTGTTGCTGACTTACAAATTACTACTTTACCAGACTGGATGATAATAGATTTTGGCTTTAATGTTTGTTTGCCTTCCTTTTCAGCTCTAGCCTGGTGGTTCCTCAGATGTTGGTTGGACCTGTGGCCTGTGTTGGGAATATAGGAAGCTGCTCTGTGTATCTTCAGGAAAATGGCTATATAGAGGGAACAGGGTCTAAAAGCACTTCCCCTTTCTTCAGCTGTCTGGGGAATGCTGCTGGAGGCAGGTTTGTCCTAGGCAGACCCAGAGAAACCTTGTTCAGCAACTCCCTCTCCGTATGCTGTTCTTGCATGCTTCCTTCCAGGTAACACAGAAATGTGAATTTAGAGGTTATATACATATATATATAAAATCAGGCTTTATATATATATGTGTTAATTTATACTATGTATGTATATTTTTTGTATGTTTAATTTATGAATGAGATTCAGGACACATCTTTTTATGTCCAAACAGTGTTCCCAAGCAGTCTAACAAGCTCTATGCCTAGAGTGGGCCATGATGAGTCAAGGCAAGTGGTGTGGCTGAAGGACACCGTTAATCTTTTCATTTTTGGAGAGAAGCCTCTGGCTCCTGCAGGTTTAGTCTTATCTACGATTTCTCCTGTGCTCTCAGCTCTCTTGTCCATGCTGTTGCCAGACTCACAAACAAGCTAGTTCTCTGGCTGAATTACCTGATCTAGAGAAAGATGGTCTCCACAGCATTTGCCAGCCCCTTGCACTTGTGTCTTTCTTTCCCAGTCCCAAGTTCAGGACACCAAGTTCGGGCATATGTGGGTGATGTAGAAGTGAAAGGTTCGCAGCTTATTTCTCTCCTTAAGGTTTGTATGAACCCACATTGTCACTGTAACATCACACTGCAGTCCAATGGGCAGACTCTCCCTTTTCCAATGTATCACAACCCCCTTGGCATAAGAGGTCCAGCAGACCCTGACTGTCACTGTAAAGGTCACTCAGTCTTGTCACGGAAAAGCTGATTCTTATGCTGCTGCTCCAGGGTTTAGAGGTTCAGACAGAGATAGAATTCTGTGCATTTTAACCCTATTCTGAGATCAGTGTTGCCATTCCCTTGCCAGTCCAGCCCTGTGTGCAGCTCCAGGAGGAGCAAGCACATTTGTTCATATTTGTTCACAGTGCATTAGGTGTATCCCACGCTGTGTCCCAGAGTGTGCCATCATTCTCTGTTATCATTTGAGGACCATCTGTATGAACTTTCTTGTAGTAGAAAAGACTATATAAAAGTGAAACAATTTGGTGCCCTGGTAGTTCCCCACAGTTTAGAGTAACAAAATAGGAACTCCTTTCCTAGTATGCCATTCTAAGCCTGGCCTTTGACATTAAAGAGAGCCAGGCTGAGATGAGGACTGCAAAGGACTTTTCTGTCTAGCATGTGCCCTTCCATCCTCCCCACATTTTCCTAGGAGTTATGAGGTGACAGCAGACTTTGACCCTCCTTCCAGATGGGCACATTAGCCATGGGTTTGCTCTCCTGGGCCCTTGACACCTCTCTTTGCTGTATCACCCTTTCCATCATCCCACATTTCTATATAAAGCTTCCAGGATAGCCCTTCAGGTTTAGCTGCAAGCCCCAAGGCTGGTCTTTGGGCCCTGATCTCCTAATGTCAGAGCTGTGAACAGTTTGTATATGTTTAATGGTATTTTTGTGTATATAGCTTTGTATATATTAGCACAACTGTAGCAACGGCTCTAGGCCTGGCATTTTCCTCTAGACAGGGTTTAGTGTTTATAATAGAGTTAGTGTCAGTTAATAGAGCTGCATAATAGGACTGAAAGTGTGAGGACCAGTAACATATGAGGGACTAAACAGGAGTGCTTCTTCCCTCCTGTCCAGCCACCACCTTGCTGGGAAAGGTGAATTGGCTGTTACCTAAGTAGTTACTTCTGAGATTCTTCCTGAGAGAACTGATATTCAAGAGCAGTGATGTTAGCTCCTCCTTAATGTGAATTCACCCTGCCCACACACCCCCCACACCCTCAATGTGAATAAAGAGTCTGTCTGTATATTGTTGGAAAAATGTATTTGAACTGCAGTGGAACAAAATAAATACTGTGTACAGCGTCATGTGCCATGTGAACCAGTGTTTCACCTTTGAGAGATTATGAGTTTGCTTGGGGTTTTGATTCAGGGGTTGTTTGCAATATTTTTACAATGGACAACAAGGAGCAGATGAATAGAAGTGACATAAAAAGCAAAAGTCCTGCCAAAATCTTAATGGTTGCGAAGAAACAGTAAAAAGACACAGAAGGCAAAGTATCTCAGAAAGGGAAATTTTTGGGCAAAAAGCATGAAGGGAACATGTGGGAGTCATTACAGATAGGAAAGAGGAGAGATATGTCTGAAAGCTACCCCCTATTCCTACTTGCAGCAGGACTTTTCATCTGGGGGCAGGGAGAGGAGTCTGGGCCTGGAAATTAACAATAAACAGGGTGTTCAGAGGGGGTGACAGCTGATCAGTACGAACACTGATGGCCTTCACCATAGCACTGAACTGGAGGTGTTGACAGAAGGTCAATGTGACACCACGCAGCAGTACAGTTTGCCAACTGGATAGTGCTGACTATCTGTTCCCCAGTGCAATACTGGGATTAGGACATCTGACTCAACTCTGAAAGTGCTTGGAGACAGCTGGCACCAGCATGTCCCTCTGGTTTCACCCTTGTCAGATGAGGGCACCCATCACACTGTGTATGACCAGGGAGGACCCCCCAAACTTCTACTCTAGTTGCCCTGACCCAGTGCCTGCCTCCTTACTCCCTTCAGAGACTGGAAGAACTCCCCAAAGCCTCCTAACAGTAGTTCCAGTGCTTGGTTCAGAGCTCTTGTTCCTCCCAAACCCCACTGTTCTGGCCCTGCACACTCATCCCTAGCAGCGATCCTCCCCGATTGTCTGGCCCAAGACTTCATCCAGGTCCAGCTCTGGTTCCCGCTGTAGTATTTTCTGCTGCAGATCAGTGTAGAAGTCGACTCCCTCAGAAACTGAATGGAAGACCTTGCCTTTGGGCTCATAGTAGCTGCTTATTTGCTGTATGAAGCACTGGTGGTGCTGAGGGTGATCCTTGAGGCTCCCATCGTATCCCTTGATGTGGTTCCTTTTGAACTCCAGTATCGTCTTGGTGTAGGTATTGAGAGTGGTGACAGCAGAGGCCATGCAGCAGGTAAAGGAGGCCCAGGCCATGCTGCCAGAGACACACAGAAGAAGCACATGCTGTGAAAAGCCACGTAGGGTAAGGAACACCGTGACACACCCCAATTCTCCCTGATTTGCCAGGCAGAATCTACTGGGCACAGATGTGAACTAGATTGACTAAGGCTTACAGCATTACAGTTCTTAGGGGTTATCCCACCACAAGATTCTTCTTAGATCAGTGGGATAAATATTGGTCATCCCCATGACAGGGAAGGAAGTGACACAGGGAAAAGGGCAGCAGGAACATCTGTAACATCTGTAATTTCCAAGCTGTAGCAGGAGAGCACAGCTAGGAAGCAAGTTCTGTATTGCTGGGCTGCTCAGTGTCGTACTGCACATGAGACGTCTACCTGAGCGTAACCAAATTGCCATCCTGGCATTTGATGTCCATGGGTGGCATGTGGCACTGGAGTGTTTGAGAATCAATGTGGTCGTCATCAATACAGCATTGGAAATTGAACCTGCACTTTCCATGGGCACCTGCAAGGCTCATCCAATGTTTTTCAGGTCAGGTATGTCATGTCTGCTGTGCTTGGCTGCTTTATCCTTTAGAGAAAGGCACACTGAGTCCCTGCTTTTCGCAGCTCCTCTTCCTGGGTCGTAAGTGGCCCTGTGGTGTACTGCCTGCTTTCCCTCCTTCCTGCACGTAGTACCTGCCTAAGAGGGCCTTGGCGTCCAGTGCAGCTGCCATTGTATGGCTGGGCCAGCACTGGAGAAGATGGTGTGGCAGCTGGTTGGGGCTGAGCTGTGCCCACATCTTTAGGCACCTGTCTAGGCTTGGTGTTGCAGGAACAAACCCTTTGGCCCAACATGGGTTAATGAAGATGCCAAGCTAGCATGCAACTTGTTAAAATTGGAGAAAAACAAGGTGTGTTTGAGAGCACACAAGTGTGACACTGGCCTCTGCACACAGGGAAGAGTTGAGACCAAACTGGGCAAACCAGCAGAGGGGCAAGCCTAATTAGTCAGCAGGGCTGAAGGCAATTGTTTAGGTGTGACCCCATTGTTTTCCCAGTCCTTTGGTAGCTATTCATTTAAGTAGCTCAGCCACCATTTATTAAAACAGGGTGAGGCAAAGAGAGGAGATTAGTAGTAGGAGAACCTTGGTACACCTGTCTTTGGAACACACAGAAGGTCAAGAAATGAAGAGGAAGCGGGTGAATGGCTGAAGCTCTAAATGCTGAGGGGGTGAAAATGGCTTCAGAGCTCACGTACTAGAATGCCCAGCCATAGTCCCATGTGTGTGGTCTCCAGTCCTCTGGTCCCAGATTAACTGTTGCCTGGAAGACTTGAGTGTACATCATGTGTGCCACCATCCCAAGGAGACCTGGACACAAAGGACAAAGCAAAGAAGTTACAGCAGGAGCCACAGCAGCATACTTCAGCCTTGAGTGGAAAAGCAGGCTCTCCAGTGCTGAGATTCCAAGACTACAGTAATACACTTACCTGACAGCACTGAGGAGACAGCAGCAAAGGCATTGAGCTTCATCCCACAGACAGGATTGCCAGTATGCAGAATTTCCACCATCATGAGGATGAAGCTGATGAGCAGCAAGCTGATGTATAGCATCTCTGATCCCAGTGACAGCCACAGGATTCCTGCCAGGAATACGATGAAACCATGTTCAAGGAAGCATACTCCCATCTCTCAACCCAGTCCTGAAAGGATGTCCTTTGGACAGAAGGGAACGAAGGAAAACAGCAAACACCCAAAAGCAATCTCCCCGGCCTGTGAGCAAGGGATCAATGGATGCTGTAAGGGACAGAGTGCATGTCACAGAGGATGGCTTGGCTCCTCTAGCATGGCAGAGCTGAGGGGATCTAAAATGTCCTCTGTAAACAAGCCAGCATTATTTCTAAGCAGCACAGAGGAAAGCAAAGGGAAAAAGACAGGGGAAGCTGTTGACTATTAGCATAAAATCTAATGGTCATAGATTGGCCACATTGAACATATCCAAGCTCTAATCAGAATAAATGCAAACAACTTTTAACCTTGGGACTCACCTATTTAAGAACTATATGGTGCATCCATGACTGTTTGGGACATGGCCTCTGGAATTCAGAAAGCCTCTTGCAAGTCTGTATTTCTCACTGAAACCCCAATTAAAATGAAAGTACGTTCCTTGGGGTTGATATCCAACCAGGGCAGTAACACTGACCGCTCACCCTGCTTCTTGAACAGAGTGCAGGTACTTTCATGCTGGGATTTTGAGTGGGATTTAAGTGATACCAGAGTCCACAGCTGAGCTGAGTTCTACAGCTTTGCAGTAAGAATTGAAGGAGGATGAAGAAAGGCACTCTGTAATGCGGGGTTGTGGAAAAGCACAGGATCCACTGAGGAAGAAACATTAATCTGACAAATGAAGCAGCACTGTGAACACTACTGTTAGCAACTATTAATGGCTGTAGAGGAGACATTCAGCTGGGGAAAAGGAGTGTGAAGAAAACCCTCATTAATGTGGCACTGACTTGAATACTCAACATCATTAGTGCCGTAGAGTCAACCAGCTCTTTAGCAGAAATAGATGAGCTGCATTCCCTGTTTAAAGGAGCTGGCTTGCTTGCTGCAGCACCATCAAGAAGAATATTTCATTAAAGGTCAGACTGTCAAAAGTATTCTGGAGGTCACAGGCACCACACATACACAGAGACCTCTGCATCATTTTCCTTGTGAGTCCAGGCTTCCCACTGATGATGTGTAATTTGGTCTTGTAATGTTGTGTATTGTGGAGCTGCTCTGCACACACGCAGCTCAGCCAGCCCATCCCACAATCGGCAGTCACACCCTCTCGTGCAGTGCTAACCCAGCCATACAATGGCACCTGCACCGGTCATGTTAAGATGATACTTTGTGCAGGAAGGGGTGAAAATGGTGCTTGCAAATCCCCAGCATTTATTACACCCTTGCTTTCAGGATTTGAAGGCTCTGCACCCCAGGCCATTCCCTTCATATATGAACATCTTCTGAAATTACTCCAGCCTCCATCTCAGGGAATAGTTAGCAAGCCCACACCAATTGAAAAGCCTTCATTAAGTAGAATCTCTGTAGCATATGTACACTTCCATCAAAGTATACTGAAGCTATCCACAGGGTGATTTGAAACATGTGACAGTGACAGAAGGGGTGATGTCTCCTACCCTAATGTAGTTTTGTATTTAATGAGGCAGGGACTTCACCTTGAAAGCGTTAACTTTCACATGTCCTGTTCACTTACCACAAAGTAAGAGGTGATTCAGCTTCCAGTTTCATCATATTAGACCCCAAAACTGAAGCACTGAGTTAACATGTAGCTTGTGTGGGAGGGACTGCCCTGAGGCTGCATCCATCCTCTTCCCCTTTACTACAAGCAAGATGATAACCCCAGACCAGGCAACTCACTACATGAGACAAATCCCACCTAATACTGGAGAGACTCAGGTTTCTAGCACTGACTTCACAAATGGCAGTGGTTTATGTGAACATCTGGGAGGAAATCTTTGCTCTTTTAGCAACCACAAGGACAGGATTTCATTCCTGGCTCTTTGGGGACTCACCCTGCTGTCCCCACACAGGCAAAATGCTGCTGGTCCCCTGTCCCTAGGAGGCACACTGTGCAGCTACAGTGAAATACAGGGATTGGCTCTTACCTCTCTCTGCTGGTGGCGAAAGCTCAATAAAGCTGCGGCATTTCTCTTCTGAAACACAAACCCAAAGCTTTTAGTTTATAAAACAATGTAAGGAATACAGGGGGAAAGAAAATCTCTTAATCTCACTCTCTTTTCGGTGCACACATCCATTCATCTCTGAATCTACCCATCAGACCTTCTCACCTCCAGACTTTTTCCATCTTTCGAGACCTTCACTGAGGCAAAGGATGGGAAGGCAACATTTGCCTGCAAAACTAGAAATTACCTTTTCAGAAAAAAAAAGCTTCAGCAATTCGTAAATCTTTCTAGCCTCTACTGAATATAAAAATCTGTTGCTACTCATTCACAACATTACTGATGATCAGATCTATTAAGGTTGTAGCTTGTAACAGACTGCAGATCCATCACTTCTGCTGAATTCCCACACACCCTAATCTCAGAAGAGCATTTCTAGCCCTGCTTCTCAAAGAAGAAGGCAAAAAAAGAACTTCCCAAGTGAAATACTTTGTGACAGAGATGTAAGTTCCCCTTCTGTGGCAGAGACTCATACAGAAATATGGTCGTTGATCCTCACGTTTTAGGAATGCTATTTCAACAAACTGTTAATATTTGCTTTGGCAAACTACTGTCTCAGCTGAGGGTCTATCATTATTATCTGTAAGTGTCTGTCCCTGCATACTGCATTACTGCATTTGAGGGTCCTCGCCTCCATTTGGCACAGTATTTTCTCCTAGACTTTTCCACTTCATGTAAGAATCTAATTTTCTTAATTTCTATCCCCAGTTCTAATCTTTCCAAATCTCCTGTGCTACTTCTGTCATCCACAGCTCTCAGGATGCTACCCAGTTTAGTGCCATCTGCGGTTCTCATTAACTTGCAATTTGCTACTTCACCTAGAACTTTAATGAGGATATTCAGTAATGGCTCATCTAAACTGATCCTGCGATTAGCCTGAAAATGAAATCCTTTCTCCAGCTCAACTCAAACTCCTTTTGTTCAGAGTAGTCCCTTCTTTGTTGTTTTTATTGTCTATGCAGTTGCTTCAAAGATGCACAGTAGTGGGTGGGTGATTTACAGGAAGCAGGAGACTGAGACTGACTGTGCTTCTATCCCGTGCTCTATCCCGTGTTCTGCTGCGATCCAGATGTTACATACTTTCTCTGTTCCTTCAGGCACTGGGGTTATTCCCGGACTGCCCAGTGAACAGAAAAGTTGTTTAGAGAAATCAGTCGAGGGATGTAGTTTCATTCCCACAAGCATCATGGAAACACAACCCAACCCAAACCAGTCCCAAATAAACACATCTCCTTCCACAGCCCTTCTGGAAATGCTCATAACAAAAAGCAGCCCACTTGTTAGGACATGAGAGTTTCAAGCACATTCCCTTCTGCTCCAACCCCACCTTCTGTCTGCTTTTCTTCACCAGTTATTTATTTTCAGACTGACAGAAACAGAGATGAAAAATACTGTACTGGAAGGATGGCTTGGTTAAAGAAGGTGAGATGTTTGTACTTGGGCAGAGCTTAAGGGAGGGTGGTGGGCTCAGGGGAATGGCCCTGATGAAAGTGACTTTCATCATTCTATTTTTAGATAAAAATCTCTGTGTTGACCACCTTCTGGATTAGTTCTGACCCTTGATGTGTGTCCCAGGCAGTAAAGGGCATCTGAGCACTGCAGAGCACCCACCTGTGCTGGCGTGGCACAGGTTTCGGCAGAAGGACTTTAGCAGGTCTGGGCAGGAACAAGTCAAGGGTGAAGGGAAGCACCAAAGGGTTCTAGTACAGGTTTCACAACCAGTCCCTGGCACTTCAGGATTTACAGTGCCAGTCCCACATGGTCAAAAATCACTAATGAAACCTGTCACAATACCACAAAAACTAAAAACAATTACAATATTGCAGGTCTAATCCTCAGGTCAATTTACCTCCTAGCTTTAGTTCCTTTGGGTTCAGGTCCTCCAGGTTTTCTCTGTATCTATAAGGTAGTAATTCCCTTTCTCTGTTTTATTTATTTGATTTTTTAAGAAAAGCCCAGTCTCTGTTTAATAACACAAAACTACTCAGTCTGATGATTTAAGAACACCAACTATTGTAGTCCTCACAATGATAGATTAAAATTATCATCTGCATAAAATCACTGTACTTAGATTTCTGAGAGGACATCACAAATTTACCCTGAAGAGCATGAAGTAAGCTGTGTGTAGGAATGGATATATGGGGAAAAGGAAAGGAGGCTCATGGAAATTCCCATCAGGATGGACAGTGCCATCATAAAGTCACTGCCACCACCACCATCACTTGCACTTCACAGACCCTATTCCAGACCAAAGGGCACACCAGAGACAACCACTCTCCATTTCCCTGCTCTGTGAACATTCCAGCAAAGGACAGAAATATATTGACTGCACCAGTGCACAGGGCTGATACCATCTAGGAAAAGGAAAAATACTTCTCTCCCACGTGTTCTCAGCCTTCCACCTTTCAGTTTCAAACTTCTGTGGAGTAAATACAAGGCAATAAGTTGTGGCTGCCTGAGCAACACACTACCTGGCCCTTCCATGCTCTCTTCACAGGAAAGCCACATCCCTGTGTGGAAGTATCTGAAGGCAAAGCGGTCATCTCCAGTCTCCCAGCTGTAGTGCACTGTGTCCTCAGACGAAGCATTGCTGGCATCTGCATCAGATGGCATGGGGACACCCACGCACTGGGAGGCTTTGCTCTTCCCACACAAAGGCTTGGGTACTTTCTGGGTCCCGGTGCACCAGTAGCTGCCCAGCAAGGCTGTGGTGGAGAGGGTGAGAGCCAGCAGGTTCAGGATGACAGCCAGGAAAGTACGGTGCAACGGCAGTCCCTTCAGCAGCTCCATCTACAACACACACATAGGAGAGACCATCACACTGGCCACTTGTCCCACGTAGCCTTATGAATCCCACCTTTTCCCAGCATGCAGCTGTGGGGAGGGGTTATGAGCACTCTGCCTTCCTCACAACATCCCAACAGCTCACCCAGCATGGAAGAACCATTCCTTGAAAGCCAGGGCAGTGGACCTGGTCAGCTTCAACCATTTCAAAGTATTCTGAATATCTGTACTGGGGAAGAGAGGGTGACATAGCAGGGCTGAGTGCATTGAGGTGTCTGAGCATGGGAGCAAAATGAAAGGAACATCACATTCATTCATCTCAGAGATGACAGGGAGAAACTGTTAACCAACTTCCCTGAATACCATGTGTTGCCTTTACGTGAGATACAATGAATGCTCACTCCAACTAAATGAGAAATCTTAGTGCCAAGTGTCCCAAAACATTTTTCAAGCAGCTCATTACTGTACCTAGGGAGGTAGAAAGTATAGTGATTTCTCAGTGGGAAAAGGCAGGAAAATGTTTCCATATCACTGAAGGCCACATATCAAAGCAGTGACTGGCTTAGAGAGAACACCCAGCTATCCAGGCCTGGTATCTTAAGTACAAGCCACAGAGCAGCACCTTCCACCTGAGCTCTCATCTGCACATCAGAAATTTGGTAGGGTGGTGGGGTGGCAGCATCTTTGCTTTCACACAAAGTCCCAAAGGTTTTTTCCCTATAAGGGTGAATGTTGCCACAAACATTCTTACTGATTTAATCTCATAATTTAAAGTAATTCAGAAAGAATTACTGAAAGCAGTAAAAAAAGAATTAAAGAAAGCAGTTTGTGAACCAGGGACTTTCGCACTCAGAGGGAAGATGAAGACTTCAGGGTTCCTGCAAAACCCTGCACTGACTCCTGAGAACCCCAAAATACCACTGCATGGATTGATTAGATGTCATCTACCCACACATCAACTTTCATGTAATCAATGCATGTCTCTTCCCACGTGGCACTCCCTATGTTTGGCACAACTTCATCCAGATACTCCCACCCTTTCCTATTTATGACTCTGAAAATCTATTTACCCATGAACAGATTCAGTTTGCACAGACACTGCCTGCTGCGGGTCCTCTTCACTTAACTTCGGCTGACTCACCCAACGCTGAACGTGTGAGAAAGACCATTCTGTGGACATCACTATAAATAAACAATACAAGACCCAGCTTTGCATTCTCTGTGACTGCACCACAAATAAAAGTGGTGCAGTTAGAATAATTTCTTCTTCTACCCAGCAAGCTTGGAAACACACTCAACAAAGCCATTGCTGAAGCTCCTCTTGAAAAGCAGGATCTTATTAGCATCTCATCACACTGAGAAAGCAGTGCCTGACCCTGAAAACCCTCACTGAAAGCAAGAAAATACTCTGCTCCTGAAATTTTCCTGCATGGTTTCATACTCTGGCTTCTTTTGTCTCTTCACCAGGACATTTCTTTCTGCACCCTGGAGATGGTAACATCTTAGTGATGCCATAACTAATGGCTTTCATGATTTGAAGGCATGTTGAACATCATCATTTTCAAAGAGAGGACACCTACTAGGAAGAGTTTCTGGCTAAGATTAGTGGCAAACTTCTCAATGAAATTTTTTTTGGTGGAAAGTTTGGCTTATGACTGAAAAGGAAATTGCAGACAAAATTGTTTTTCTTAAAACCACAGTTTTTCACCTGAAAATTGAAATCTTCAGCACACTTAATTATAAGATTTTGTGTCATCAGATTTTAGGTTGCTAATGCTTTTATTTAACAAAAAAAAATTCCTCTCACAATATTTACAAAAATCATCTTTCTAATTTAAATCTTCAGTAGTGGGAAAAATATTCTCTCCAGCTGATTTATGACAGTAGTTGAAAGGCCGTATAATTTCAGGAAGAGTGTTAAGGAAAAGACATAAAAAGTACAAGAAACAAATGAGTCAGAAGTAGGAAGTGGATCAAGGATGCAGAAGACATATGGAATGAGAAGCAAATCTGCACTATTTCCTGAAAACATTGTTAGAAAAGCTTCCTTCCACAAAAGCCGACTCACTGATAGCAACCAACCATAATATCTAGATAGCCCCAAAAGGAATGATAGTTGAATTTACCTTAGCAGCAAGTCTTTGAAGTCCTGTTAATTTGGATGAACAGCACAGAAGTGGGACTCATGCTTTGTCTGCTGTTTTGTTCATCCCTGTATCCTCCAAGAAACCCAATTGCTGCAAAATCCCTTCCTCCTTTGTCTGGTCCCCTCCTCCTTCTCCTCGCCAGTGATTATTAAATGCTATCCTTCTGATCAGCAGCTGTTTTGTGGAAAATGGTCATTTTGTAATCCACAATGCAATCACAGCACAGCTGTTCTGGGAGATTATATGGGAAGCAATTGGTGCAGCGGGTTGGGATTAAGTGCAGAAGAGTGACCTGTATTAATTGAGTAGAAAGTTTCTTTAAAACCCTGAAAGATTCCAGCCATCCCCATGTGGTGGCTATTTGGGAGTGTGTATGGAGGAAGATGGCAGCTTTGGCCAATGCTACAGGGGAGGAGTGGCCTTAGCTGGGAAACTGCCAGCACCCTTGGCATCAGGTCACCCCTTGCATGGTGCACTGTCTCAGGGGAATGGCAAAGACCAAAAGCATCCTAGCCCTAGGATGTCTTCCTGGCCACACCTGATAGTTGCAGAAAGGGCAGCATAAAAAAAAAAAAAAAAAAAAAGGAGAGGAAAGTTTATGCAACTGCATCTGCTCTGAGGACTGAGGATTTCAGTCCCTGAAGAGATACCAATACAGTTCTCCCCATGGGCACTGGAAATTTTGATGCCAAAAGGATCCCCTTAGCAGAAGAGCTGCTGAGAGGCAGACTGACACCATTGCATCACTACTGTGAAGGGGGTATTTGAAACAGCAGCAAGTCAAGCCAATAGTCAAAGGAGAAAGCCAATAGCTGAGGAGAATGAGGTAGACTGCCAGTGTCACTCGTAGTGGCAGCTTTCACCAAAATGTGAAGGTCACTGGGAATCCCAGCTGGTTCACATTGAATGAATTTAGGAACCTAGTAAGAGACAGAGATTCACATTGACACAAAGTCTCACAAGTCTGAGCTCTAGTCCTGGAAGTTTAAAGGCTCTCAAAATACCTGTGTGGTATCAAACCCATGAAAAGTAAGAACAACATCACCTCTCATGAGAATGTACTAGACGCCCTGGAGCAGAGCTGCACTGAATCAAACTGTGAAGGAGGGGAACATCAGGGAGGATGTTCCAAAGGAAGACACATCCTGTCTTCCCCACAAGCACTTTGCCCAGTGCCAAGCGGGTGAATCTTGTACCACCACTGGGAGGGAACGAGGCAGATTCCCTGCATGCTGCTCTGCCAAGACAGAGGAAGCCAGTGGTCCATCCATTGTCATCCCCCGTGTCCAACACTGGAGCGCAGAGGCTGGAGCAGGTGCAGGAACAGCTCTGGGTGACAGCACAGCCTGTGACAGCCCCACACAGCACGGGCAGCAGATGGGGAAGTTCATGGTCCAGCACATGGGCTGTGCTCTGCCGGGCTCCTGACCCTTCCTGCCCTGAGCAGAACGGGCAGCAGCTCTGTGGTTATTTAATCCCAGTCACTGCATAAACTCCTCTAATATAGATAAGCGTTTCTAAGACGGACTAACTGAAAGCAATGCTGAATGCCCCTGTGCTCCATGGACCGCCTGCATGTTTTTGATTAATAAAAAGGTTCTGTTTGAAACAGATGTACTTAATTTACTGGAGTAGGTAGAACAACAGCAGATGCCATTTAAAAGGAGAGTGATTTTTTTTGCTTTCTTTTTTGCAGTCTGTCTGCATCTGGACACCTTAAATTTAACTTCTAAATGCTCAGTTAAAAAAAAAAAAAGCCTCGCTTACAAGCTCAAGAATAAATAAAGTCCATCTCTACTGATAATCCTTAACACCTTCCTAATTTTAAGCTTGGTTAGAGTATCATTAAAACCCAAGATTCTCTGTCAGTTTCTAAAGCTGGGTTCCTGGCATATATATCAATGAAATAAAACTAAATTAGTTTTATATGAATAAGAATTCTTGTTGGGAAAGAAATTGATCTGAAATATGCTATGGTTTAAAAAATATGCTTATAGCAGATTTAATATTCTGAATAATGGTAGATATTTATCCTTCCAGAAGATGGCAATCTTTCTCTAGTCTTCCTTTTGGGAGTGTCTGCTGCTCACATGTATGCTAGGGGAAAGCAACACCAAAGTTTAGACTTCTATTCCTTCCCTTGAAATTCCTCCCCACTCCTTTTTTTTTTTTTTTTTTTTTTTTTAAACATTTTGATGAACACAAACTCTTTACCTTGACTCTGAAATGGGGCATGGGTCCGTCTCTTGGAATTATCTGAGTATGGGAACACTTGAAATCACTGGGGGGAAAAAAAAAAAGGAATAATTACAGGAGCTTGGCTTTTGCTCACCTTCTGTTCTGCATGAAACTATTCTTTCTAACACTTTTCACAATATTTTGTCAAGTAGCCCATTAAATTTCCCCAGATTACTGCACACAACTCATGGAACACCAACAGCAGAGCATGTTTCCTGATGTTCAACAAACTCCCCTTCACAAAATGATTTTATCTGGTTTTGGTTTGGATTTTGGTTGGTTGGTTGTTTTTTGAAAATTTTCTATATTAACCTCACCTCAATCTAACCTATTATAGACAGAAAAATCATCTGTATCTATCTTTCACCCTGCTGTGCCTTCAGTTTTCTCCTCTTTGTATCTGATATTTCCCACCATAATTTGGCTTGGCTCTTGATTTGGATGTCTCTTTCTCTTTGAACTCAGCAGCAGCCAGTCCCTGGTGACTCGTTTAAAATTCGCCCATTGAAGTGAATGCCCATAGCAGTCGATTTCCTGTGCAATCAGCCAATGCTTGACTTATAGAAACAAAACAAGGAAACAAAATGCAAAACCCCCCAAAATCATCGCACGGCACCACCGTGGAGATTGCCAACTCTAAAGAAGCCTGGGTGTTGAAAGTGATGCATTTTCATCCTGGCTCTATCACCATTTACACCCTGGTTTGGGTGTATCCTGCCCCAAAGCGACAAATTCAACTCCCAGGGATGTTGGTGGAATAGAAGGTCAAGGAGACCTTGCCAGATAGGGCCCAAAACTTGCAGTATTTAACTGGTGGGTC